GGAAGGAAGGAAGGAAGGAAGGAAGGAAGGAAGGAAGGAAGGAAGGAAGAAAGAAAGAAAGAAAGAAAGAAAGAAAGAAAGAAAGAAAATGCATTCTAAAAGAGTAGGAGACTTCAACTCTGTGTACAAAAAGAAATCATTTGGGCATCCCCACTTTATTTCTATTTGATTTTTATACCCTGAAGACATCCCTTGAGTAGATTCCACTCCAGAGCTGGCGGATGCCATCTGGAGAGAACACAAGAGAAATTTTGACCAGCTTATCCAACCTCAAACTCATGTGCCTTGCAGTGAGTCCCCACACAGCAGCCCAGGATTTATGGTGCACAGAGAGGAAACAAAAGAGCAAAAGACAGGAATTACAAGGAAAGAAGGCTCTGGGATGATCAGTGTTCTCTGGGTACAAAGACTGAGGATCTCCAGCTAGTCACCATTTCATTAGCTAGTGCAGCGAGCAGGGTACAGTGATTTACCTGAACAGCATAGAAGTTCAAAAAGCAAAATGCTCAATAAGCAAATTGAAGAACATGAAAGAAACAAGTTCAGGTCCATCCTTGGTCACTCATTTTCCCTGTATTGTCCTCAGCAGAATTCCTCCTGCTCTGTAAGACCCCCAGTCTCACTGACCATCAAGATCTCAGCAGTGAGTAAGAGGAAGTGAGATTTCCACATTCCAAGACCACTCACAAGGCAGGGTAAGGAGTTTTCTGACAGGCTCTGTGTCAATTTATAATTTAAGGCCCAACTGTTATACTCTGGACAGGGAAAATGTTGCACTTCCTCATAGGGCTGTGTGACAGAATGGGTGCTAAAATTGAAGTTTCGGGCATGTTAGTTTTCTTATTCTTTACCAGCTCTTGAAGGATATTTATTTTGAGTATAAGGTGAGATTGAAACTATTGAAAATATTCATAGTTTTAAAAATGCGTTACAGGAGTGTGTGGAGAGCTTCCTGCTACCCTGCGCTGGCGGGAACCAGTCCCAGCCCAGGCGCAGTGTGGGCCGGACCCTCTCCCACCCCCTCGGGCCGCCCCCCACCACTCTGCCCTACCTGCCCCACCCCTCCTGCCGAGTAGGAACTTCTGCCGACTTCCGGGAACCCCCAGACCCAGTCCTAGCCCAGGTCCGCAGCAGGAAGGAGCTGAGCACAGCAGCCAGACCTAAGCCAGACACAGCT